ATTAATATAATAGCCCAGCACTTGTCTCGAAATTAAAATATCTTTTGACAAGTTACCTAAGAATCATTGCTTTTTTTAAAAAAAGATAGTCATGAAAACATAAATTATTGCTGATTCATTATTATTGGAAAAAACAAGCACTTCTGATATAACTTGAATTTCAGAGAAAGGAACTCACCAAAGATTTTTAAATAGCACTTTCTGTTAAAAAAAATTATGATTATAAATGAAAGAAATAAGATTTCCTTGAAGTAATTTTTACATTTACCATAAAATAATGAAGCCAGCAGTGAAAGGTCAAAATTTTCTGTGTCATAGTTTTACTAATTATTTAAAAAGTTATTTTACAGTAGTATCTTAATATGCCCTTTCCGTGTTTAATAAGTTAATTGATTGGAATAAATTAACCTTTTATGTGAGAACTTACAAGACAGATAGTTGGGCATCTTATACATTTTTATTAGCATGACTTAACAGTTCACCATTTCTGACAAACTTAATTTGAGTCATATATAGCAGTACACCTTGTGAACATTTTCAAAAACGTGGTAAGCTAAAATTATTTAAATTTCTACCCTTACTTCTTTCTTTCCACCCAGAAATACATCATGTTTCAAGCCAAAAAATAATGACTCTGGATTCTACTCAGCACGAATGAGATTAGATTGATGTCATTTGTCTGGGAGAGTTAGGGTTTATGAGGACTCCCATTATAAATATTTGATTCCAGCCCTTATCACTTCCTCATAAAAGTTCTCATCAGTTTAAAATTTGGTATTCGAGGTCTTTCATTAATTTCTCAATTTTGAATCAAAGAATATCTGACATTAAACAGGCAATTAAGAAAGTCTAGTATAATGGTGTCTTTGGATGCAGTCAATTTTTGTTATTTTCAGGAGTTGTGTTTTATAAAGTTGTCATAAACACTGAATTAGTAAAGACTGAACTATCGCTTCTAGAGGAAATACACGATTAGGTTCCTATGAGCCTCGGATCACAATATTTTTATTAACCCATCAATATATACTTT